ACATTTACTAAATAATAGGTGGGTTATACCTTATAATCCTTACTTGACAGCGAAATATGATTGCCATATTAACATGGAAATATGCTCAACTCTTAAGGCCGTAAATTATTTATATAAATATGTTTACAAGGGACATGATCGAATTAGCTTTTCTGTAAATAGCAATGATACAAATGTGACTATGATGAAATTTCAAGATATCAAAATGGAAGATGGATCTCTCCACTTGAAGCGATGTGGATAATTTATGGATTTGTATTGTCTGAGATACTTTGTCTGTTGTTTCTTTACACTTGCATCTTGAACACCATCAAACAATTACGTACAAAGATTCTGATAATTTACAATCAATTATTACAAGAGATTATACACAAAGAATAACGTTAACTGAATTCTTTCACACAAAAAGCTAGGACTCTTTTGTATAGAGATTTCCCTTCTTATTTTGTATGGGATGCGAACAAATGAATGTGGATTGTTAGAAAACAAAAAAATGTAATTGGAAGAATAGTTACAGCACAACCATCTGAAAGTGAGAGTTATTACTTACGTCTTTTGTTAAATCACATTAAAGGACCAACCTCTTTTGAAAATTTAAGAACAGTAAATGGTGTGTTGTCATCTACATTTCAGGAAGCATCTCTTTTACATGGTTTGTTAAGAGAAAATGATAGTTGTGAGGCATGTTTAGCGGAATCAATTGTTTATCAATTGCCTCATTATTTGCTACTATATTAACATTGTGTAGTCATAATAATACACGTTTGTTGTGGGACAAATTTAAATATTATATGTTTGAAGATTTTATAAAATAGGGTATGTCATTAATTACCGCTGAAATAAAAGAATTACAATGTATTCATTCTATACTTGAACCATTAAATAAAAATATAAATGATTACAACTTGGTTTCATTTAAAATTATCATAGAAGAAAGCGACAAATTAGCTACTATGATCACTGAAGAAATGAGAAATGATAATAATGAAAATAGCAACTTCGATGCAGGCACTTTAAACAAAGAACAACGATATGCTTATGATACAATTTTACGCCATGTCATGAATAATAAAAGTGGTATGTTTTTTGTTGATGGACCTGGTGGAACAGGCAAAACATACTTGTATAAAGCTTTGTTATCAACTGTAAGATCAAAAAATATAATTACTCTAACTACAGCTTCTTCTGGAGTCTCTGCTTCATTATTACGAGGTGGCAGAACTGCATATTCAAGATTTAAAATTCATTTGAAAACAACTGAAAATATTGTTTGTTCAATCAGTATACAATCTGTGTTAGCATCTCTTTTCAGGATGGCTAGACGCATTATATGGGATGAAGCAGCAATGATCAATCGTTACACTGTTGAAACTTTAGATAAAATGTTAAGACATAGTAATGATGAAAACATACCATTTGGTGGAAAAATAATTATATTCGGTGGAGATTTTCGTCAAGTTTTACCAATAGTACAAAGAGGAAACAAAGAAGATATACTAAAAGTGAGTTTAGTTTTTTCATATCTGTGGCCTTCTTTTTCTCATCTACCATTAATTGAAAATATGAGAGCTCAATTAGATCCAATGTTTTGTACATATCTACTTGGTATTGAAAATGGTACAGAAAAAGAACACTATTGTCGTATGATTAAACTCCCATCAAATATAACAATAAGTTTTGAGGATGAGTTCAATTCTTTAAAACATTTGATTGGCATTGTTTTTCCGAATATAGAAAATTACACAAACAATTTAAATACTATAATTAATATAGTTATTTTAACATCAAAAAATGAATGTGTTGACTTAATAAATAATATTTTATTAAATGAAATACCTCGAAAAATATTTACATATTATAGTTTTGATGAAGCCATTGATAAATCTGAACAAATTATCCAACAAAATTTCCTAAATACATTAACTCAAAATGATATTCCACCACATTCTTGTATTGAAGGAAAATTGTCTTGTTATGTTACTTCGAAATATTAATCCATCTGAAGGACTATGCAACGGAACAAGACTTATTTGTCGAAAAATTGAAAAAAATATTATAGATGCAGAAATTTCAGTCGGAGAATACCATGGAAAACGAGTATTTTTATCAAAAATTTCATTCATACCACTTGAAAATGACTAAACTTCAATTCCTTTCAAAAGAACTCAATTCTCAATACATCCATGTTTTGCAATGACAATAAATAAAGCACATTATCAAACTTTAGATTTTGTTGGTCTTTACCTTCCAAAACCAGTATTTTCCCATGAACAGCTCTACGTCGCTTTGTTAAGAGCAAAAACCAGTACATCTATTAAAGTTTTAATTAAACCATTTGAAAATACTATAGCGCATAATAGATGCACGAAAAATGTAGTTTACAAAGAAACTCTTACCTTGCTATAATCTTTATAGCTATTTTTTTGGATGATGTTGGCTGAGAATATAGTATTGTTTTAGATGATGTGCCAAACAATGATGATTATGATATAGAAAATTCTTTTGGAACTTTGATTATTAAAGTTTGGTATTATTGACTAACTGCAAGCATGTTTTGATTGAATTGACAATTTTGGAATTATGGACTTCATTTAACACTACTAAACCGTTTGGCCCATTAAGGGGTGCGACGATATTAAAGGTATTGTTCTTGTATATGCCAATCATCATATTTTGTTTAGCGATGATCACCGCTAAATAAATCCACTGTACTAATGTTTTGATATGTTGTAGCCATTGCCTCTATCTCTACTCGAAATGATGAAATCATTGGTACCATGATTTCTGATACAGCTGATAAGGTTGGACCGGATGGTGTTTTATCAATTAAGTCATTGTCTTCCTTTGAGACAACTGTTGACATGGAAGAAGGAATGGATGTCTATTCTTATTTTCAATTTCATTTGTTTTAAACATATTTAGTTATTATGTACACTGCCACCAGTTGAGGATAATTGGTCGTGAAATTTATGTGTTGCATAGTATACTGGTATATGGAAGTTATTAGTTATCCAATGATGAATGATGTAGATTGTAGAATGTAGGTGGTGTTGTATTGATTAGTGGCTCATGGGCCATGGATGTGCCTGTGTATGAGTGAATCCTGTAAATATGTGATTATGTATTAAGTAATAACTAATATGAAATTAAACTGTTGGTTACTTAAAGCAAAAAAGGAGCCCAATAATCAAAAGCTATGAAGAAAAAGCTATGCATTAGTGAATTTTTTTTTTGTACATGTAAATTTTATTACATTTGCTTTGTTAAGTACTTTCAGCCCCCCCCCACCCCCCAACCCGAAACAAAAATTTCTAGATCGATCCCTGATGGTGTCTTTAGTCTCGATGGTAGTTGGTTTTGCTTCTGTAAACATATACAAATATATGCTATTTCTTTCTCACTTTCCAAGGGGAAGGGAAATACATAACTCTTTTTAGTTGTTACATTTGATTTGTGAGTTTATTTCGATCTGTAGGATACCTGCAAAGAGGCAATTAGAGATAAACAAGAGGAAGAATTATTACTGAACACAGAAAATGCTGATTTTTCTATTATTTCAAAAAGCATAGTAGAAGAGGAAGAGAAGTTGATAGGAGAGCAGCTGAAGGAAGATGAGGAAAATATGAATGAGCCTAAGAAGAAACCTCACTTGAATGACCTCCAATTCACTAAACTCGATGAGCTTCTAACACATTTACGATAAACTGGTTTTCTTCTTATTTATTTTTTTGTGCAAATAAATCAGTTTTTGGTATGTAAGAGTGAGATATTACTCAAACGTCATATATATTATGATCACCATGGAATAATGCATATACGAGGAGGTAATCATGGGCACTTGTGCAAACTCAAATTCAAGGAGCAATCTATTCATCGGCTCACAATTCTAGATGAGACCAACACATCTCTGTCACTGTGCGTGATTATTGTTAATTCCAGTTTATTATTGTCCCTCTCTGTCTCCTTCTAATTGTTTGTTCTCATTGTGCAATCTTTTTTCCCTGATGATAGCCAATGTAGTGTAGTGTTCTTTCCTTTTTTGTTATCCTTTTTTTTTATATGCTTTAACATTCTTTCTATTCTCTGCTGCAAAATAGATGAAATGATGTCTGGATAAAAAAGCCATAGAGAGTTCCTTACAGTTACTTAAGAGTTAAATTAATGAACAGATTAGTACCATTTGGTAGGAAAAAATGCAGCCGAGTTGGAAATGGATGTCATCGAAAAATGCTCTCAGCTGGAAAAATTTGCCCTCAAACATAAATAGTCTCGATGGTAGTTGGTTTTGCTTCTGTAAACATATACAAATAAATGATATTTCTTTCTCACTTTCCTAGGGGAAGGGAAATACATAACTCTTTTTAGTTGTTACATTTGATTTGTGATTTTATTTCGATCTGTAGGATACCTGCAAAGAGGCAATTAAAGATAAACAAGAGGAAGAATTATTACTGAACACAGAAAATGCTAATTTTTCTATTAATTCAAAAAGCACAGTAGAAGAGGAAGAGAAGCTGATAGGAGAGCAGCTGAAGGAAGACGAGGAAAATATGAATGAGCCTAAGAAGAAACCTCACTTGAATGACCTCCAATTCACTAAACTCGATGAGCTTCTAACACATTTACGATAAACTGGTTTTCTTCTTATTTATTTTTTCGTGCGAATAAATTAGTTTTTGGTATGTAAGAGTGAGATATTACTCAAACGTCATATATATTGTGATCACCATGGAATAATGCATATACGAGGAGGTAATCATGAGTACTTGTGCAAACTCAAATTCAAGGAGCAATCTATTCATCGGCTCACAATTCTGGATGAGACCAACACATCTCTGTCACTGGGCGCGATTATTGTTAATTCCAGTTTATTATTGTCCGTCTCTGTCTCCTTCTAATTGTTTGTTCTCATTGTGCAATCTTTTTTCCCTGATGATAGCCAATGTAGTGTAGTGTTCTTTGCTTTTTTGTTATCCTTTTTTTTATATGCTTTAACATTCTTTCTATTCTCTGCTGCAAAATAGATGAAATGATGTCTGGATGAAAAAGCCATAGAGAGTTCCTTACAGTTACTTAAGAGTCAAATTAATGAACAAATTATTACCATTTCGTGGGAAAAAATGTAGCCGAGTTGGAAATGGATGTCATCAAAAAAATGCTCTCAGTTGGAAAAATTTGCCCTCAAACATAAGGTCCTTTTATTTACTTAGATTCAAGTTCCATTTAATTTTGATAAGAATCTACTCATTTATTTAATTCTCACTTTTACTTTTGGTCATGGATAACATCATTTCTTGCTAACTCAATTCATACATATACTTGGCGAATTTCAACTTCAAAATGATAAGTTTTATAGTGCATCTAATCTAATTTCTTCCTACAGTAGACTGTTATGTATACCTTTGTTTAAATTCAATAGGTGTACTGTAAATTACTCCAAATTGTCATATCATATAAATAAAGAAATAGATGATGAAATATGAATGGTGACTACATTAAGCTGAAGAAGACTCTCTCATAGCTCTTACTTTTTTAGTTAATAATATTTTCAAATTTCACCAGCCACATTTGCCTTGATATTCTAGAAAAGTAGTTACCCATACTCTCTAGAGTGCTTTCCTGAATCATAATACTAGCTTTTTCAGAAAAAACTTTTTTCTGAAAACAGTAAGCAGCTTTTTAAGCTTTTCTACTGACAAAAGTTAATAGGTATGGACATTTACCCTATTCATCTTCATATGTCAAATTCTTTATCTCACAAGATTTTACTACTTTCTCATTAATCATCATGTTTATCTCTTCTTTGTTTCAACCTTAATAACATGGCAGCAAACTTTAAGTTCATCCCACAAATTAATCCAAACGAAAAGAACTGGCAAGTAAAAGTGATTGTTGTTGAAAAGTTCTCACCAAAACAGGCAAGACATAAGTACCGATAGATATCAAAATATGGTTTTAATGGATCTTCAAGTAAACATCTTTCATTAAATAAATCTAATTTAAAACTCTTCTGCTTCTATAGAGATTCCTAAAACACAACCATTTGTTTTCATTTCCATTCAAAACGATACTAATATTACAGCCTTTGAAGATCAGCTCCAACTAAGCAAAACGTATGTTATTTCAAATGCTCTTGTTAAAGATACAAAACTTGAGTACAGAGCATCAAATGGTAATGTCCAATGGATAGTATCTGGGAAGAAACACATTCAGGAAGTGGATAAAAACCACATGGAATTCTTGTTTTCCACGTTCAGTTTCACTTCTTTTCCAGAACTGGAAAAACATATGGATTCCAACAGTGATATAATTAATTTCTAACCAATCATTTCTTCTACTTTTTTACAACTTACATTTTTACTTCATGTACTTCAAAAACACACATGCACATAATTATTAACTTTTAAACAAAACTTTTGACACATAACTTCTTACAGGCATACTTGCAGTGGCTATTGACATATGGCTAAAAAGACTCATTCAAACTCGGTTTGGAAACCAAACTTATGTGCAAGATATTTTCCTGATAGATAAAACTTTCCACACAATCATTTTAACAATGTGGGTGACCTATGTGGAAAAGGAATGTATTCTAATTGCAGTAAACATTGCCAAAAAGCGTATCATTCTAGCTAACCGATTGAAAGTTTCGTCATTCAATTGTAGAATTTATGATACATATTGTACAGTTGCGAACTACTCATGTAAAGTAGTGTAGTTCTATACAGACAACAAACTAATGTTTAATCCATTCTACATGTCTTACACTGTCAACCAAAATCAATAGCACATTTTTCATAGATGCTGGTTTCAACGAAGTTGCAGAATTGAGAAAATGGTACGTATAAGAAATTTGTACGATGAAAAGAATCTGTCACAACAATCTCTATTAACTATGTATTCACGTTCTACTGCTCTATAAACATTTATGCCAGGGTTGAAGCACATAACAAAGAATTGAATGACATTGCACTGGAGAAACCAAATCAGATAGTGACTCCCACAAAGTTATCTCCTACCCCACACAGAAAATTTATAGACATACAAAACCTAAAAGGAAGACTACTAGGGGTAATTGATGTTAATTCATTACATACATATTTATGGTCTATTCGTCACAGAGACATTTTACTTATTTTTTTTAATCTAAATATCACATTTCTCAACAGCGGAAATATTATTAGATCAAAGCTAGACCATCCATCAAAACAACAAAACAAACTTTTTGGTATATGTCTTGTAACAATTGTAATAAAATCACTCATGCTAATTTCTATGAAATTTTCTTGTGTATTTACTGCAAACATCCTACTACGAAAGCTGTACCAAGGTAACACTTATTACAATTTATTCCAATCACTAACATCCAACTTTCATACATTTTAATCATTCTCTACTAAACTTAAATATACGTATTCCCATTTTCATAGAGCAAATGCTACTGTCCAATTAGAAGATGCAAGTGGAACTTTAGATGCAAGTGCAATTGATGACCCTGCAGAGATAATACTGAAGCACAGTCCTGAGAATCTGATGAATTTTACAAAAGTAGTAAGAAATGATTATAAGAACCATGCCACATCATTTCAACTTCTAAATCATACATATATATAAATAACAATTTTGCATCTTTATTTTTAGTAGGAAACTAATCCATCTAGTGTTGCGATGACCCTACTGGACACTGAAGAAGAATACATTTTTTACATCAAAGTTACTCAACTGGAACAGAACACTACTCAGTACAAATATGAAATCATATTTGTTCTGAATGCTCTTCCTACAATTACAGATGCAACGAAACACCAAACTGCTGAGAAAGATAAAAGCTCGTTCGACTTTCCTGAAGAAAACAAAAATTCTCAGAGTGAAGAATATCTACACCATCTGCAAACGAGTACTCTTCAAAACATCAGCTAAGCCAGTAAACCCAGTGCTTCCCAATATAGTAGCTGAAAAAAACAATGCTACCTCCAGTTCTACAGCTCATCAAATCACAACAAAGAGAAATCTTGACTAACCAGCATCATATATTTTTGTAGACACTATAAGTACTACAACCTGGAAGTTAGTCTTGCTCATTTTGCCATTACAACTCCTGAATGAACAACTATGTTCTATTTTGTAGCACATGTCTATAATTACTCCCATGAAGAATAAGCTTAGAAGTTGATGGTTTTGAGTGCAAATTTCCCTGTATTTTGTAGTCAAAATGTTGCACATATTTAGTTCCAGGGAAATAGTCACAGTTATGTGCTTTTGTTGCTTGTAACTTTATTGAAATTTTGATTAAGTTCAAGCTAAATCAATATCTACAACTTCCATTCATCCGTTGTACTTTAAATGTTGCCACACAATTACTATTATTTTGAAATCATGTGAAGTTCTATTGGATTTCAGTTTATGTCTTAGTTAAAATTATTTGAGTAACTCATAGAAGCTGAATTTACTTCCGTTGCATTTTTATGTGGTTGAGTTTTTATTACTCCAATTGGTAGATTATATCTATGTACTGGTGTCCTTGGAAGTGTTAGTAGCTTAATTTAGTTTGTTGAATTTTGATTCAGTTGAGTTTTTGTTAACCCAATTTGGAAGATTATGTTTATGTATTGGAATCTTTGGAAGTGTTAATAGCTTAATTTACTTTATTGAATTTTGATTAGGTTGAGATTTGTATTAATCCAGTTTGATAGATTTTTTTAT